TAACCATATGAGTGGCCCTTCTCTGGACCTTCTCCAGGTTATCCACATCCCTCTTGAAGTGTGGCACCCAAAACTGCATGCAGTACTCCAACTGCGGTCTGACCAGCGCCCGATAGAGGGGAAGTATCACCTCCTTGGTTCTGTTTGTCATGCATCTGCTGATGCATGATAAAGTGCAGTTAGCTTTGCTGATGACTTTGTCACACTGATGACTCATGTTCATCTTGGAGTCCACTAGGACTCCGTGATCCCTTTCCGCTTCTGTGCTACTGAGCAGGTCATTTCCTAGGCAGTAGGTGTGCTGGACATTTTTTCTCCCAAGATGCAGCACTTTGCATTTCTCCTTGTTAAATCGCATTCTGTTGTTTTCTGCCCATTTGTCCAACCTGTCCAGGTCTGCCTGTAGTTGTTCCCTGCCCTCCCGTGTGTTCACTGCTCCCAGTTTTGTATCATCTGCAAACTTGGACAGAGTACACTTCACTCCCTCGTCCAAGTCACTGATGAAGACATGGAAGAATATCGGTCCACGGACTGAGCCCTGCAGGACCCCACTGCCCACATCCTTCCAGGTTGATACTGTCCCATCTGCTACCACTCTCTGGGTGTGACCCTCTAGCCAATTTGCCATCCACCAGACTGTGTAAGCATCCAAGATGCGAACCTAAATCGGCATAATGTGCATTAAGCTAATGTGCATTGCATTTAGGTGTGCCTAAATGCCCATGTACACACACCCGTAGTAGTGCAACATACATTTTATCCATGTGCAGATACATCAGACAGTCTTGAAAATCTTGGTGGTTGTTATTTTTATCTGAGTAAAAGCCTGATATTAATGTATATTTGTTGCCAATCTTTATTGAGCAACTCTTGTCTCTGTACAGTAAGTAGAACCTGGTTATCTTAAATATCCTATATTTCTCTGAGCTGAAAGTCTCGTTAACAGTATGTCTGCCTTAGAGAACAAATGGAAATCAATATTTTTGGCAATAGTTGCACCAAGAATACATGTAAAAGCATTTAAACCATTGAAAGCATTATCAAAAAAAAAAACCAGATTGATTTGTTTGTAACTTTAAGGATTTTTCCTGCATTCAGAAGACCATCATCTATCTAGTTGCGTAGATCCGGGTTGTGGATACTAGTCAGTAAAACTCTGAAACTAATTAGAATTATTGCTGATTATGAAGTAATGATACGATGTTTATTTTGCTTTAAGATTCCTAGGTACATCATAACGCTTCACGAACTTCTGGCTCACACACCCCATGAGCATGTGGAAAGAAAAAGCCTTGAATTTGCCAAATCTAAGCTAGAAGAACTTTCAAGGTAAGGTTTTTTCCTGGATGTATTAATAAGCTTAGGTGAAAGCTTTATCCTTTTTCTAATTGAAAGTTTTGCTCTTTTTTTTTTTTTTGCCAAGACAAGGTTCAGACTGTTTTCCCCTGCATCTTTTGTGGACGGGGGAGAAGGTGGAGTGGTGCCTGTTTGTCATAGTGATTTACTATATTTATGTATGAGCAAAGCATTTACCATTAACTGACAGGAAAACATTTTAATTTTTCCATAGTTGACAAAAATGATAAATTCTACTCTATGACAACAGAAGCAGTCAGGGTTTTGCAAAGTACTCAGTTCTAAACTTGTATAATATTTTATAAATATTAATGACATTCATTTTGATACATACTTTTACTACCACATGTGACAAAAAGGGAACTTCAAGATCCAAGTATCCCAAATATTTTAAGTTCAGTGTTTTTTATGTTACTAAAATTCTGTTCCCTCTAAATTTCTGCAAAATTAAACTCTATGCTATCAGTGTCTGTTACAGTTGTCCCTCTGCTTAAACCCATATAAAAATATAACACCTTGTCTTGGGAGCAAAACTTTTTTGTATAAACATGACATAATTGCAGAAATTCTGTATTATGAGTTTTCCTGAATTTTCCACATGGCAATGCCACTGTTCCCCAGCAAAAGCAGTTTTTTAGCTGTGCTAAATTTTTGAGTTTTTTGTTTCCCACTGTTTCATAGCTCTTACTCATTGAACAATCAGTCATAGAGAAGTAGGGCTGGAAAGGACCTCCAGAGCTCATTTAGTCCAACCCCCTGCCTGAGGCAGGATCATCCCTATCTAAATCAACTTATACAGTCCATAATCTAGACTTACTCTGTGTAAACTCCTGGCAATCCTGACACAACACAGCTAACATCCTAAACCTGCCAGAGGTAAAGCAGGACAACCGTGGCAGTCAATGTCCTGCTTCTATGCAAGGCTGTCAATATTTGCTCAGGAGATCCAGTTGTTTATCATGTATTATTCAAACTTAGGCCATGGACACATTAAAGGGATATTCCAGGAAAACCCAACCATCCCAGGAAAAAATGTTTGAGACAACATAACGCTCTAATCCAATTTTAATCTGCTTAGAAATATGTTTTCAGTTAGTTTGAGAGAGTTTTTACATCGATGGCTCAGGGTAGCTCTATTCATTTAACTAGAGACTTACTCAACAGAGACGTTTTCCATTGGCTTCCAAGATTTTTTCCCTCCCTGAAGAACCATACTCCTTCCCTAGGCTGTCTCTTTAGCTGTCTTTATTTTCATCTCATATTCAGTGTAGAACCAGGCAGATGCTTTCAGCTCTGCATGGAAAATTCAAATAGCTAGACATGCACAAAATCTGGTGGAATGGCTGTATTCACATTCTTTCAGTGGTGGACGTACAAGACTGCAGTTGGCATGCCCTCTCTCTCTCCCCTCCTTTTCCCTCCCAAATGGGGCCATTTAGAGGAGGAGACCTCAGCTAGGTAAGAATATTTTCAGCAGTGGTAAAAATAACTAGATTGGAGTGAATCTGTGAATGAATTTTTGGAGGTGAGATTAGGACAGGGGTGGGCAAAATGCGGCCCGCCAGGCTATTCTACCTGGCCTGCAGGGCCTGTAAAAAAATTTAGAAAATTAATATTTATCTGCCCCTGGCTGCCTGTCATGCGGCCGTCGATGGCTTGCTAAAACTCAGTAAGCGGCCTTCCATCCAAAATAATTGCCCGCCCCTGGATTAGGACAAGGACTATACAATTTAAGAGCTACTCTTAGTATCATTTTATTACTGAAATTTATAGCAGCTTACTATAAATAAGAAATACTAATGTAAATCAGTTGCTGAGACAAATTCTAGGGGAAGCAAGCTACCTGCATGTTTAATTCAATACCATTGTGCATTAAAGGTACAAAGGTGCATTTCAGGGAATTTAAGAAACAGTTTATATTGTGTCTGACAGGGTGATGCACGATGAAGTAAGTGACACAGAAAACATCCGGAAAAATCTAGCCATAGAAAGAATGATAGTAGAAGGCTGTGATATATTGCTAGATACCAGCCAAACTTTTATACGTCAAGGTAAGACTTTTTCTTAAAAAACTTCTCTAATAATGAAAAACATTATATTAAAAAACAGTAGAATTAATGTTGGCATCATTGGGAAGATGACACCTTTGGACATAACAAACATCTTAAGTCTGGTGTTGTCCATGTAGGATAAGTTACAAGTTGGCCCATGATAAATAGTTTTGGGCTGTATTTGAGCCCAACTTTTATGGTGTTTTTTACAGGGGCCATGAAAAACAGGAGCACAATAATAGTAAAGCACCTTTGGGACAGTAATGTACATACTGCCTGGACTGTCATCTTCAATGGACCAGAAATTATCTACAGCACCATGGAAAACAGGTCCGTTTGGCCAGTTAACACGGAGGTCCCAGATGATGCCAACATTTGGGCAAAAGGAAGAGAGAAGATTGAAGTTCTTAAAGCTTTGTCAAATGGTGGAAAGATTGTGAGGAATGAGAACAGCTGAGTGTTGTTCCCATTTTTTATCTGTGCTTTGGGAACAGCTAAGAATGCTATAATATAATGTTTTTGAACCTTTGCTGCCAGATGGATGTTTCTCTGGTACAGCCAGAAAATAGATGCTGGAGCATGACGACATTATCACGTGTTTTGCAAGCCTGAGGACACTCATTCATTTTTTCTATTGAAAGACAGATACTGCCTTTAGTGGAAGCTCAGTGTATGTGTCACAAACATTTCTGCAAAGAAAAGCTATGAAGAACAAGCATACTGCAGAAAAATGCAGATGTACTTATGTAGTGCATCTTGCAAAATAGAGAAAGAGATGTGCACCTCTTCATACATTGTTTCTGAAAAGCGTTTCCATTGAGGTTCATAGACTGTAATGATGGATTTTATGGTTGAATTCTACATATTTGTGATAAAAACAGCTCTTCGCTTAAATTCAAAACTTCTCTTGAAAAATATTAATGGCAGGTTGACATTATCAGTATATTGATTCTTGTACCAATTGAAGTGAATAAATTGGAAAAATTAAAAAAAATGTGGTTATCTAAGTATCTTTTTTCTCACACATGATGAAAATACTTAGTTTTTTATATCAGAATTGTTATTACTAAGCAGGAAGATCTTTACAAAGAATGTAGATATTGGTAGTTCAGATTTTTCAATTTCTCATGTTTGAGCTTCTTTATCCCACGAAAAAGTTAGGGATACCAGTATGTAGGATAGCTTAAGAATATAGTTTAAGTGCATCTCTGTAAGACGAGTGGGTATGGACTTTTCTTAAACATTTAGAACTAAATTTGACAGCTTAAATAACATGATTGCTTTGTGAATAGTGGAAGTTTGGATTGGGGGGTTATTTGATTTTATATATTTCTGGAAAACTAATCTCAGTTTTTTAAAATAAAATATGCCCATATCTACAGTAATTTCAACGTTATTATTACAACAATTAAACAATTAAAATTTATGTAACAATTAAAGTTTAGAAGGCTTTCTTCACTATTGCATATGGGTATTTAGTATAACTTAATGGGTTTAGTGTGAAAATTCAAAACTTCAACTCAAAGAAAAATATTAAAGCTTGTAGTCTGGACTATTTTGTCTTTTATTTTTATTTTTCCCTGGTGCCAGAAACATGTATAAGTTATGATCTTCCATTATGGGCATGTGTTATGTGAATTATTTATTCTGTATACATCATTATTTTTGCTGTAAAGTTATAATAAAGAGTTACAGAAGTGGCTTTATATACCTCAGTTGTTTAGTTTGTTTCCCAGTTATGGTTTGCTTATCTTCATTTTGTGTGTATATTTAGAAATTCATCAATAAAAAGGTAGTTAATTGTAATAATCATACAATGGAAAGAAGTCTTATTACACTGATTCTGAGCATGCTTTTAATTAGACTTCAATGTCTAATTATGATGTTTTTTAGAAGATTAGACACCTGTAAAACACTTTTTGAAAGCCTTGTATGAACTAAGGAAATCAGCTTGCCAAAGAAAAGACTTAAGTTTTGTTCTGTGATATAAACCTGTCAGTCACAATGTTGACTGGTAACAGAGATAAGAATAAAATATTAAAATACAATGGTTAAAATATTTAAATAAAAATATATTATCTAGAATAATTTAGCTGTCCAAGTGACCACATCACAAATTGTCTACCAGAGCTGACATGAATTAGCATCTTTGACTGTCACATCGGAAAGACCAAGGACTGAATGGGTCTGGAGATGAGTTTATCTTTTCACCTATAGGAATATCTCCCTCAAGTCAAGGTTGGGGTACTCTAGTAGGGCAGCATGAGGGGAAACTTATACTGATATTGCTGGTGTTATTGTTCTTTGACTAGTCTCCAGTGCTGCTATCCTGGCACCTCCCCCCTGAGGACCCTTTTGCATTTCACTTCTGTATTTGCCCTGTGTTGGTCTCTGTGCACCTGTACAGAGACCTTCTTCATAGCTTTCAGAGACAGAATATTTCCCTTACCTTGTCAAAGAGATGCTTGTTTAGGTGTTTATGATAGTGTGAATTTTACTTTTGCGAAGTGTAATATACAGCATAGTTTACAAAAAGGCATGTAAGAACATTTAGGGTGGTCCCCTGGATAGAGTTTGGGAGTCAGGACTCAGATCCAGTCTCTGTTCCCAACACTGCTGCACCCCTGCTGCTGTAACTTTCGTTTTCTATGAGATTGAGTGGAGTACAGTATCATATACTTCCTCTGTTGGTAGTGGTAGTTACCCAAAACTCAGTAAAGGCATTTAAAGTTCTTCAACTACAAGGTCCTAATGACTTTACCACCTCATAGGTCCCAGTCTTTATTTCCTCAATGGCTCCTACCAACAGATCGGTCCAGTTTTGCTAAGTGCCACAAATCAGTTCAGACATATAGCTGTGCAACCCACTTCTCAGCCATTCAAACTGTCTTGGATCTTTCTCTCCTGACAATTGTGTTGCAATTCATGATACTCAGCAGAGGAGAAAGCAAAACTGCATGAGCAAATTAGTCAGTTGCATGCAGACCTAAAGCCTTGTTTTTAAAAAACCCAGGCTTAGTCCATGCTGGATTGCACATGTATTTGTTAAAATGATTTTTTGGCAATATTCATCTGCTTAGTTCATATGTTGCTGGTTAAAATTCCTGAGACTGCACTCATAGTTCTATAAAGGACTACTGCTTAATGAAAACTCCAAAATTAGCCTCACTTGCTTACAAGAACAGTGGTAACAAAACTGAACCATTATGCTTTTTCTTTCCTTTAAGAGAAAATCTGTAGTTGAGGATGTGGCAAACATCTACAGTTTCTTGTTGTTAATAAGAATTCACTGGTCAGAAGAACTGCAAAACAATGTACAACAGCCACTTTGTCTAATGAGAGCTATACAGTGCATGTAGCAGAACTGACAGTGTAGCATTTGGTTGAACTTTATTTCTGTTTTGTGTTACACCAGCACTCTTACTGCTGCATATTTCTAGTATAACCCTAAACTATACATTACAGAACATCGGTTCTGTTGTAATTTTCTCATTTATCAGTGTGTTTGTGGCTGTGTCTGATGATAGAATATTTTTATGTATTGGTACATCTGAAATAAATTTAAAATGTTGGTTTGGGGGGGTGTACATGTTTAGTAATGTATGCAATTGTATGTAAATATTTAAATTTCTAAAAATTTTTTTCTTTCTCATTAAGCACATATATTGCATTTGTATCTTGTTTCTTAGTGTAGGATTTAATAAGTGTCTTTAATAATAGACCATTTTCCTGCCAAGGTAGCATAATGAGTTTTAAGCTAATATATATTAAACCTCAGTGAATAAGCTCTCCAGGGTTCCTTCCTCATAATGTGTTTGCACTAATGGTCAAGATAGTGCCCTCAGTTATGTATGGGAATTGCACATGGATTGAAATGAAATTTTAGCTCCTAGGTAAACTCAGAGGTGTCACACATGCTTATACAAGCCTGATGAATTTTGTCCAAAACTATGTAAGAAAGGATGTAAGTAGCACAGTAGCATAATTTTCACCCATCTGAAATTCTGTGAGGATCAAATTCAGCCTCTTCTGTAATAAGATACTAATTGAATTCAGTAGTAGTTGTACTAGTGTACTGGTGTACACTAGGCCACAGTGTGACTCAGGAGCACTGATAATTGTGTGGTGTAAGCCAAGGAAAAAGAAGCTTGATTTACTTAAAATTTGTTCAGTTACTCTTTGTGCACATTGATTTCATTTTATGAACCTAGTAATTGCCAAACTTAGTGCAAGTGATGCTACTTTGCCATTTAATTTCCCTTTCTTGACCACTGTATATATGACATGTAACTTAACCTACCTATGAATTTTGCAGCCAAAATGAATGGTCTTAATAGAGTAAGATCTTCTTTTGGCATAACAAAGTCCAAACCTGAATCCTGAATTTGACCTAGAGAAGAAAGACAAGTCTACAGTAAAAATAGTAAGAAAATAAACAATGGGCCTCTGTTCTAAGTGCAAGGTATTTTCTTATGTACACCTATCAGAGTTAATAAGTTGCATTAATTATTTTTGTATTGCCTAGTATATTAATACTGAGAGCATCACTTGCTAAATAGTATTATAATTACAGTGTGTTATTCACTTTTGTAATCACCAGGTTCCCTTATTCAAGTCCCTTCAGTTGAGAGAGGGAAACTGAGTAAAGTTCGTCTGGGATCATTGTCTTTGAAAAAAGAAGGAGAAAGACAATGCTTCTTATTTACAAAACACTTTTTAATTTGTACAAGAAGTTCAGGAGGAAAACTGCATCTGCTTAAGGTACAGAATTTAAACTACCTTCTTTGAGCTGGATTGCTAAAATATAGAAAAATCAGGCCAATAAATGTTTTGAACTTCCCACTTTGCTTGAAATTGGCAGCATTATTGCTTTAACCTGGGACTTTTGTGTGCTGTGGTAAGCATAACTGAGATGTGCACAGTGAAGAACTGCAGGACTGTCATAGCTGTGCAAGTAGAAAATATTAGGATTATGTCTGAAGTGTGTTAGTTTTTTTAAGGGGTATTGGTTATAGCCATGTTGGTCTAAGGACATAGGCAGACATGGTTGTTTGGGTAAATCTTTTATTAGAACAACTAAAATAGTTGGAAAAATTCTTCTGTGCAAGTTTTTGAGTACCAACCCAGAAGAAGGGTGTTTGTACCTGAAAGCTTGCAAAGAGGCCTGAGGAAAGGTGTTCATCCTTCTTCAGGCTTCTATGCAAGCTTTTGGGTACAAACACCCTTCTTCAGGATTTGTACCCAAAAGCTTGTAAAGAAGAATTTTTTCCAACTCTTTTAGTTGGTCTAATAAAAGATATCAGATTTATTCAAAGAACCTTGTCTGCCTTAAGTTCTTTGAAGAACTTGCCATTCAGATTATGAGCTGGACAGTAATAGGTAACAATATTGACATTTATTTTACAGTGAATTTTTCAACCATTGTTCATGCTCCGAGTGTTCTTCAACTAGTCCAGGACATGGGGCTGTTTTTACGTCCCTGATCCCCAGACAAACAACAACCCCCCCAGCAAACTAATACCCCCATCCTGCCTGCCCATCCCCCAACATTACTTACTTGCTCAGCTCCCAGAAGTGATGAACATTGGTAAAACCGTCATTGTGAGTGGCTTGAGGGATGGGAGGTTTGGCAGGCTGGGGGTGGTGATGGGGAGGGCAGGGCTGGGCTGACTAAAAATAGCTTGGTGCCAAGGAGGGGGTAGGAAAAGAGCAGCATCAGGGCTGGGGCTGGCAACTGTGCTTTCCCAGCTCTGGGGCTGTGCTAGGAACTATACAGAAGTCCAGGAGAGTTAGATCTGTCTAGAAATGCCAACCTGATCAGATTTGAGGGTTCAGACAGAAGTGGAGCTCTCAGCTGTAACTCAGAACAATTCTGCAAAGTGTTCTGAGTTACAGCGTTACCTCAGATGAAACAAAAGTTCACTGTTGGTTCTGGGGGGAGGGGGAATCTAGCTGCCAGTTCAGAGCCTGCAGCCAGGTTCCCATAGCAATGGCCAGGGCTTTCTGCCAGTGGTTGCTGTTTTCAGAATGGAAGGGAGGAAAGAACTTGTTCTTGGGGCGCCCCAGCTGGTGCTGAAGGGTGGGGTGGGTGAATTGGAGCTCCCCCCCCACCTCAGGAGGGCTCCAGTACACCCACACCAAACTCTAGGGGGGCTAAAAAAGCCTGAGACTGAACTCCCTCCACTCCCTCTTCCCCCCCCCTTCTGAAAACAATGACAGGCTGGGATCTCTGCAGACACAAGTTACAGAAGACACTACATTTTTAAATGTCTTTATCTCATACCTCATGCAATGAGGGGTCAGCTTTTCACTCAATCAACCATTTTTTAAGCTGTTTGCAGCTGTGCACTTGTCTTTGGTCACAGCTAAAGCTGCTTTCTGTGGCCAGATCAGGTGAAAATTGTCACTTCTGTCTGCACCCTGAGTGTGCTTTGGAGGCAGGGTTAATTTAGGTAGGGTCGGCGATTTTTAGATTGATCTAACTGTCCTGAACTTATCTACAGTTTGCAATTAGATCTACTTAACTAGTGTAAGGTCTGCACTTGGGCAAACTAAGTTCAGTTGGGTTGCCATTTTTAACCTGATCTAACCTTACCCCTACCTTGGGCAAATTCAAGAGGAAGTTGGATGATCAGCTGTCTAGGGTCTTGTGAACCCAGCATTCATTCCTGCCTGTGGCAGGGGGTCAGGCTAGGTGATCTGTTCGGGTTCCTGCTGACCCTAGCTACTATGAAACTACTATGAAACTATGAAACCTCCCCATAACCCCAGACCTTTAAAGAGCAGGTGTGAAGTTGGGAACCCCAGCTGCACACTCACTTTTCAACTTCCTGCATGCTGGCAGCTGGAAAGCATGCAGTTGAGGCTTGAGGAATTTTATGCCCCATCACCAGAATTGTGCGACCAGTCTTACAGTCCCAGTTTGGGGATGGGGCATAAAATTTCTCAAACCCCAATAACGTGATTTCCTTGATGTCCACCAGCAGCCAGAGAATCACCAGTTTACTAGGGCTTGAAACATAAAAGAAAAACTAAATACGATTATTTTTTTCCTTAAATGGACTTAACCTATTAGGCACTAATTAGTTTAAAAAACAAATCCGTTCCCTGTCCTTCCAAAAATGAATAGTTTTTCATATTGTTTGCTGTTTTTAATTGTGGATCTTTCAAGTAGCCTGGAGGGCAGTTGCATCAAATAAACTTAAGCATTCCTTCTCCCTACTCTCACTATGTGTATATTGCCTTTCTCTTGTTTCTGCATGTTTCAGCTTTGTCACTGCTGTTCCTGTTGAATGATCTGCTACGGCCTGGGGATGAGTATTTATATACCCCCCCTTCACAGATCAGTATGTGAAAAGAGCCAATAATAAAACACTTAAGCTCCCTATAAACAAATCTTTGGCAAATAGAGTGTAAACAAATGGAGAACAGATTTTTTTCTCTAGTCTTTTTTTTAACCTACCATCATGTGTGTAGCTATCTCCAGCAGCACCAGGTACAAATTTTGCAAGTAAAAATGTGATTTTTCTTCCCCCCACCCCCAAATCAACAGTGTCTTTTTCTAAACATAGTAAAAAGACTATGGTTTTCTAACCCCTGGAAAGGGAGAAAGAATGAACTGGAATACAGTTGGCAAATGAAATCTGTATGAGTGCTTCTGTTTCCTGGAGTCACCAGAAAGCCCAGCTCATTGGCCAAGAAGTCAAATTCTTCATAGAGGAATAAAAGAGGAGAAAAGGTCTCAGCTGACTTTATAGTATCATTCCTCTGCTCACAATGTCCAGTCTCCGTACAGACAGGCATTCTAATTTCCTTCTAGTAGATACCAGTGTCTTTTGGTCTGCCTGATTTTCAGTGTGTTTTTGTAGGCGGTAGCTTTATAAATTGCTGAAACTGCTTTACATATTTGAACCAAAGGGGCTTGAATCCTGAAGTCCTTTTTCAGCAAAAATTCTCATGGAAAACAAGCTTCCAAATAATATCAACAAATTCTGACTTCTTGGGGCTGGAGACAAGGTGTCAACATTTGTATCTGTGTAAACAGGATGCAGAGATTCTACAGAATTCCCAGGGAGTAATTTACAGAACTGGTTTAAAGCTAATTAAAAAAATCAATCCTGCCTTCTTGACCAGCATGATCTCTTGAATTGAATTTCTTAACAAATCTGTAATTAAATTGGATGGGACAGAATGAAGTTGTTGTTGACTGGGCTACAATTAGTGAGAGGCAAAGCACAGAATGATTCATATTGAGTGAGCATGTTGAAACTGGATGTGAAGAGTTTCTTCTGAGTTGCATTTGATGGAAATCTGCACAGTTGAGTTCAATGAGACTGTCATTGCATTGAAAATTTATATATGCTACTAGGGAAGACCTTGGCTTAGAAATGTAAAAGAAACCCTAGCATTTCTAAGATTTCCAGTACTTCATCATTCCAAATGGGTCAGGAATAATGAAATTCATCTTTTCTATATGGAAATTCATTTTCCATTGTAGCAGAAACCACAACGTAGGAGGACACAAAAACAGTAAAAATATTTGACAAAGTAAGGTCCTCAAGAGATTCTGTTTTTTGGGTGAAGAATCAAGTTTTCTATGTATTGTCTCCAAACTGGCAGGCCAGTTTCTAACCGTGTGATGAGAATTAGTGTGGGAAAGGAATTTTGCAAAAGGAATTTTGCAACTGAAAATGTATACTTGATTTATTTTAATGAAAAAAAGATCTAATATACATTATGCATTATATTTTTAGTCTTTTTTTAAATAATGTACTCCCTTTTTGGGGAGAAAAAATGTTTGTCCTGAAATGGATCCAGACTCTTTAACTAAAGAGACTGCAATATAAAGTCTCATAGTAAGGTTGGTGGAAGCTTAAAATATTTCTAATGAGTGCAGAAAACTCCAAAATTTCTGAAAAGACTACTTTTTTCCCCACAGACAGGAGGTGTTCTCTCTTTAATAGACTGCACATTGATTGAAGAGCCAGATGCAAGTGACGAGGACTGTAAGTTGCATTAAAAATGTCTACAGTAATCACAGCTCTGGAACAGTTTCTAAAAGGTGTTACTCTTTTGGGGTTCTTTTCAGCACAGCAAATTATATGTTTTACCTTTTCATGAAACTTGAGAAGTATAGTGGTAAAAACTGCGTATGCAAAATAGCTGCATCAAAAATGTGTGCTCTGCCCTGTTTATTGTTCTTTATGATGTCCTTCCACATAAGATTTCAAATAAATTACAGAAGCAATGTAACAAGTTATTCACTCATTTTTGTATGGAAATTTACCTTCAGGGCTCTTAAAACAAATAATGCTTGCATGACAGAAGGAAGGGGATAACTGAATTTCTGAAGTTCAAGAGTGGGGGGAGGGTAAGTGTTAGCAGAGCTAGTGGAAAATTTCATCTTGGACTCTATAAATCCTGACTTCTACCTTGGTCAAATAATATTACAAAGCAGTTTCCTTGCTTTTTTACAATATTCATATTTGGCCCCCATCTAACAGAACTTTTTTAATGTTAAAGGCAGTTCCATTAAATTCAATTTTATATCTCACATGTTCAACATCTAAAATTCATGGAGGAGCCTCCCTAGAACTGGGGCTTTACTTGCTAATTTGAAAAAAATTACATAATTTTTAGTGACTCCCACTCAATCATACCTATGTATGTATGTTTAACAAATTTCTTCATATACATTCCATGTGAAAAATGTGCTCGCTGTTTTGGAGTAGTTTTTGTTGGTTTTCACCAGAGGTAAGCTTAAAGTGATTTCTAGTATAAAATAAATATTTTCTTTAATGCAGCTTTTAAATCTCAACTGCTGTTTTTTCTACCTTCCAATGATTTCAAAGCAAAAACTTCTGGTCAAGTGTTTGGACATCTTGATTTCAAGATTGTAGTTGAATCTTCCGACGCTCCTCCTTTTACTGTGGTCCTTTTAGCCCCTTCACGTCAGGAAAAAGCTGCATGGACAAGTGATATAAGTCAGGTAATTTAATCACTTCCTCTTTTCCTTTTTTTTAAATGTACCTAGGGCATATTTTTATTGTGTTGCAAACTAATCCTAGAAGGATTTTGCATTTTTTCAGAATTGACTTACTGAGTGGACTGTTTAGGAAGCGTAATGTTTACTAACTATTACAGAGTTTTTTTGTTTTTTCAAGGAGTTATTAGTGAAAGGTAGAAAGTTACTCTGCATGAAGGACGTGGTGAAGAATGTAAAGAAGACAGAGTAGATAGAGTAACTGAATAGCTAACATAATAGTATTGGTCTTCATTTTTACTATCTGTTAATATGTAAATGAAGAGACCTGCGATTTAAAAAGGATAAAATTTGTTAATTTCCAGTAGTGCTAATTCAAACCTGTAGTATAAATGTGAAATTGTTTGAGGTATTTGAATGGTGGAGGATTCAAATGTTCACTTTACATTTCATGGCATGTAACTGTATTATATGCCATACAGTAAAAGAATGAGATGAGCTTTGTTATTTCTACATGGATTAGAATACTAGATGAATGGCCATCATACACAAATAGGAATTCATTGGTAGCATGTCGATGATTCACTCTTTTGTGAATCACTGAAAATGAAAATATCTCAGACAGCTTCCCAGTCAGATTTGTACTTTTCGCTTGTTTTTCAGTTTGTTTCTTTATTTGGTTTATATGCTATCTTTCCCAACAAAGTCTCAGAGTAGCTTTATAAAATAATTTATAAAACAGAACAACAAAACAACTTAACAAGCAAGTAGAGTAATAAGCAAGAGTAAAATAGAAAACCCCTGAACAATATTTTTCCCGTTTCTCTTTTTGGGGTTTTTTTTGTTGTTCTCCCGCCCTGGCGGGGGGTCGGGCTAGAAGATCTACTAGGTCCCTTCCGACCCTTAATCTATGAATCTATGAATATCCCAGCCTAGCAAAGTTTGCTAAATGCATCCCCAAATAGGGCGGTATTACAGCAGCTTTGTGGAACAATTAGAGATCATAAAAGGGTACAGGGAAAATGCCAGGAATCTCCTACCAAACTTACACATTTCAGAATGAAAATTGAATAATAATATGTAATAAATAGCAGATCAGATCAAATCCATTGTGCCTCCTGTGCAGTGTTATGTCCCTGATGAGTTCTATACCAGCTGATTTTATGCAAAAACTGTGAAGTGAATAATTATCAGTAACCTGCCCATAAGCAATTTTTCTTTATCCATTGCTACAGCTCTAAAAGGATGTAGGGCAAACAAAATAAACAAATGATAAGAATTTGATTATTGGAGATGCATGTTGTTTAATTGGGTGTGTAAAAGTATGTGACGTTGTGCACACAAATATGTAAATTTACATTTGGTTGCTTCTCAACACATAATTAGCTTATATGTGAACAAAAAGATGAGTACTATACTTAAATCAGATGTGTAAATGTATGACCTTGAATTTTACTTTTAATTAGTTATTGGATGCACTTGCCAAACCAACAAATCAAGTAAATCAAACAGGTAAGGAAAAAAAGCAGTATGAGAAAATGAGTTGTTAGGAAATAATATTTTTGTTAACCCAGTAGTTATCCTCTGCATTGTTGTGAATCAGTTACCGAAAAACATTCATCAGTAATAGGAATGATGAGCGTGTCTATGTGGGCATTAACATGCTTTAGTTAATTCACATTAAATCTAATACCTTCATTGTGAGGTACTAGGAAAATGTGCATTAGCCTGTCTTAATGTGCATTAACTGAAGAGCACAGGCTGCCTATACATAAGCAGGGAGGTTGCTCTGATACAGTGGAATTCCCTTGTGAAGCAATACACAAAATGATCCTGGGGCTTTAATTAGAGCGGCTTTTGGAGCTGCTTTAATTAAAGGGATGCCCCCTCCTGGAGCATGTGTATAAATGCGAATTAGCCTATTTTAATGCACATTAACTGAATACCACTTTTTAGTGATGCTTTCGTATACATTAAAATAGGCTAATGCGCCTTAAAGTGCATGTGTAGATGCACCCACAGAATCAGAAAGAGAAATATCATCAAACTATTTATCCTTCTATTTATCCTTCTGGTCAAAATCTTGTTGTTGTGTGCCTGTGTTAACTAATATTTTCTGCATCATTAAATAATACACACTCAGAGTATTTTTGGAGAGTTCTTAGCTATGTACTTTCACCCAGGCCTGGGGTAAAACTGCTTTCTTGTCAAAATCATCAGTTTTCAAGGTTCCAGAAATGTATATACTTTACACTACTAGAGATAAAAAACACTATATGGTAGCTATTGGTTCAATGGTTAAAGCACTCATGATGTAGTTGAGATCTAAGCTTTAGTCTCTGCTTTGTTTTATTCAGATCAGAAGGTAGTATTCTGAAGGATAGCCATCATGGCTTCATTATAGGAAGGTCATGCCAGACCAACTTCATTTCCTTCTACAATCAGGTAACACCACCTGGACAGGGGAAATGAGGTTGATGTCATATACTTGGATTTCAAAAAGGCCTTCGACCTGGTCTCCCATGATGTCCTCATGGTTAAATTGGAAAAATGCGGCCTTAACTTCTTTATGTTCCAGTGGCTAGGTAACTGCCTCTGTGGTAGAACCCAGAGAGTACTGACAGATGTGACTGAGTCATCATGGCAGGAGGTGACCAGTGGCATCCCTCAGGGCTCAGTACTTGGACCAGTGCTTTTCAACATGTTTATCAATGATTTGGAATTGGGTAGTAAAAGTGAACTGGAAAAGTTCGCTGATGACACCAAACTATGAGGGAGCATGGTCATGCTCCAGGACAGGCTGACACTACAGGCCAACCTGGACAGGATTGCAAGGTGGGTAGACCTCAACCTGATGTCATTTAATACAGATAAATACGAAGTGCTTCATCTGGGGAGAAATAATCCACAACACACGTACAGTCTCGATAGTGCTATGCTTGCCAGAACCACAACTGAAGGAAACCTGGGTGTTGTGATGGACAACAAAATGAACATGAGTCACCAATGTGATGCCGTAGCTGGCAGAGCTAATCAAGCACTGGCCCACATCTACTGAGGCATCTCAAGCAAAGCTAAAGATGTCATCCTCCTGCTCTACTTGGCCCTGGTGAGACCACAGCTGGAGTACTGCATCCAGTTCAGGGCGCCGCACTTCAGGAAGGATGTAGAGAAGCTTGAGAGAGTCCACATGAGGGCCACATGCATGATTAAAGGCCTAGAGACCAGGTCATATGAGGAGAGGCTGAAAGACTTGGGACTGTTCAGCCTGGAGAAGAGAAGACTCAGAGGGAACTTGGTGGCAGCCTGTAAGTATATATGGGAGTACATCAGGGCCTAGGGGAGCAACTATTCACCAAGGCCCCCCAGGGGAGGGCTAGATAATAGACACAAACTGATTGAAGATCACTTCAGACAAGACATAAAGAAAAACTTCTTTACAAGTCGAGTACTGAGGGTTTGGAACAGGCTCCCCTCCTTGAGGTGATACAGTCACCCACCCTGGTGATCTTCAAAAAGCGTCTTGATGTCCATTTTGCTGGGGTCATCTGACCCCAGCAGTCTTTCCTGCGCAAGTGCAGGGGGCCTGACCCGATGTTCTATAAGGTCCCTTCCAGCCCCTAACAACAACAACAACTATGAAACAAGGTCAGAGACATGAACCACAACCTTTTACTTCCTGTGCAAGTGGCCTCACCCTCAGGCTTTAGCTGTTTTCTCCTGTTACAGCTGTTCCATTTTGTATAAATAGTTTAATATTCTTTGGGTTAAAGAGATGCGCTCTGTAACTGAGAGATAGTGGTACTTGCATGCAGTATTAAGACAGCCAGGATCAAGGCCCTCATCTAAATCAGGCAGAACAGGGACCTGAGCTTGGGTTTCTTATATTCTGGGTGAATGCTCTGATCACTGGGCCATTAGCTCTTCTTCAGTATGCCTGTTTCTCTGACCAGAAATTCCATCCTTGTTGAAACTGGTGCCAGCAAAAAAGTGATTGCTCAATCACCCTTTTCATATTAAAAAAATCCCCTTTTTTTCTAGAAAGTTCTTCTCAAACTGTCCTTTCACTTTCTCTAGCCAACCCTAGTCTGAAGCAGCTGGTATGTTTGGGCACTTTTACCCAAGATGCCAACTTGTGTTGGAACACAAGTTCCACTGCATAGTCAGGGATGCCTTGAAGGAGGACAGTGCTCCCGGTGATGGTGCTGTCACTACCATTACCACTACCAGAAAGCTTATTTCAAAGTGCAGGAAGATGGCAGGTTATTTCCACCGGACCATCAAGTTGGGGCAAGATGCTGTGGGACGAACAGGCATTGCTGAGCATCCCACAGCACAAAATCATGCAGGATGTAATGACTCAGTGGAACTCCACATACCTGATGCTGGAAAGGCTGGTGGAGCAACAGAAGGCCATCCATGAGATGGCCTTGATCAGGGAGATTGGGATCAGCAGCCCCCTTAACAAAACAGTGGGATACCATTTCCCAGATTTTGGTGGTCCTCAAGCCCTTTCTTGAGGCCACCAAGAGCCTCAGCACTGGCGATGCCCTCTTTAACCAGGTGATCCCTGTAGTGAAGGAGCTTGAGAATGAAATGGAGCAGTTCCAAGGGATTGATGTTCCTGGCTGGGGCAAGCCGCTTTCACCAGAGGTGCAGGCACTTGTGAAGCAGCTGAAGGAGGGCATCAAAAAATGGCTGGATCCATTGCAGTCCAGTATGGTCCATGTGCTGGTGGGCCTGTGTGACCTGAGGGTGAAGGGGAGAGTCTGCAGCAGTAAAACCCATGATCACTGGACAGAGGTGCTGGTGAACAGAGTCAGGAAGGCAGAAGAGCAGAGGCGGGGGGACATAGAAGAGGGGGGTCTACTTTCCTGTGCCAGCACTCCAACCATGAGCCAATCTCCTTTACCACAGCTGCTGCCAGTGTGGCTTCAGTGTTGGGGTCCAGAGGTACCAGCCCCCACCATCAGGCAGGTAGCATGGAGGCCTTGGTGGCTATCTATCTCGCTGAGGACATGGAGCCACTACACTGCGACCCCTTGGCCTATTGGGCAACCCACAGCCAGGCGTGGTGGGATCTGGCCATGGTTGCCCGGGAACAACTGTCCTGTCCACTGACCAGTGTTCCAAGCAAGAGGGTGTTCAGCATTGCTGGTGATGTTGTGACACCCCACTGCACCTCCTTGGATCCTGGTTTGGTGGAGTAGCTGGTGTTCCTCAAGGTGAACCTCCCACTGCTGTGGTTCCCTAAGCCCCACATGCAGACGGACTGAGTGCCACCCTCCTCACTCTGCACATATTTGCTTTTTTTATTTGCTTTCAGAACCTTGAGGTACACTTTCACAGAAACCCCTGTACCACTCTGCCTAAAACCTGGCAGGCCTCATGCCTGCATGAGGGCCTACCATCCCTGCTGCATTCATCCCGCTCTGCCTTAACACACACAAGTGATACGAGTTTTGCTTTCAACAGTTTGAGATGCACTTTCACAGAAACCCCTCACCTGTTTCCTTGAAACTTTGCAGTCTTCATGCCCTCAGAAGGGGCTGCTATCCCTGCTGTTTTCATCTGAATCTGCAAAAAAATAACAAAGTTATAGATATTTTAGTGATTCCCCATTATAGTCTATGACCAAATCTCTGAATCCAAATTGAAGAGGGACAGTGATTCGAATCACTGAATCAAATCACTGTCCCTCTGAATCGGCCAAATCTGAAGTGAATACTAGCTGCTTTGCACAAGCCTAGTAAATACATTTTGCAAATAGTTGTTAGAAAAGGAAAGTCAACAAATATGACAGCTGCAGCTTTGCATAACCATCACTGATGAGCTTTGTATAAAAAATATCTTTCCTAAATAACTAGAGCAGGGGTTCCCAACCTTTTCAGGCTGAGGACTGGCAAACTGTGGACCAGGAGTGACCATGGACTGGCAATCCACGGACCAGAAGTGACTGCAGACCATCAAGTTGCAGACCATCAGTGACCGGCATACTGCGGGCAGGTAGCCAACCCATTTTTATACTCAATAGAAAAAAAGGTTGGCTGCTGGCCTGCAGTATGCTGGTCACTTCCAGTCTGCGGTTTGCGAGTCTGCAGTTTGCTGGTCTCCGGTCACTTTTGGTCTGGCAGCCAACCTTCCTGCGGACTGGCAGCCAACCCTTCGGGGCCCAGCACCAGGCTCTGGCCCAGGGATTGGGAACCCCTGTACTAGAGTAATGATACGATATAGTGGCTGAGTAAAAGCTCATCCCAAATAAGGGGTGAAATGAAATGAGGTTTCCAATTATGAAGTCTCTATAACAGGAGTAGAATTTAGATAGTTGTAGTTTTGATTGGGCTTGCATTTAAACTTTGAAAATTTTTGATTGTTACCAGAATTTGCAGAAAACAAAGCACTTCTTGCAAACGTGAAAATTATACTTGTATAAAGGTTTAATAGTATGTCTTAATTCAGTGCTGAGCCATTTTATTACTAGGTTTTTCTTACTTTATCAGAGTAATGTTTTTAAATATGGCTTTCAACTGAAAGGTTAAATCTTGCTTGCATTACTCACATGAGTAGTCCCACTGGAGTGACTCACTTAAGTAAAACTAACAGAATTTGAGGGGAAAATTAACCAAATTCTTCTTTGTTACCATTTCATAAATCTGGATTAACATCTCTGACTAGTCCCAAATTTCTTGTGTCAATTCTGTCATTATACTGGCAAAAGGATGACTTCTGAATTTGTACATATTCTCCTTAGGTTGATGGTACAAACAATTACGTTTAAGTTTAGAGCTACATCAGGATTATAGAATAAAATTATGAAATAAGTGAATGTAAAATAAGTAATGAAAGGTTGGTGATTCTTGAAATTACTGGAACCTGAAATATACAGTAGACTACTTAAGGTGACATTTGGGCCCTAAGGATTGCATGAGGGTCCCACTTCATTCTCACAGTCAACATTATATCAGTTTTGAGGAAATGTGTCATATTATGTTCCATTTGTTTTTATTCTGTTTCATTTGCTGTTACGTTTTTTTTTGTCTCTTAGCAGAAGCCTTCCTGAGGCTTTGTTGGGAAGGGATAGCATATACATTTACTAAATTAATTTACTGAATATTTTTTATATCTAGGTTGTTTCAGGTTTTTATCTCTTATTTATTATTCAAGTTCTGTTTGTATTTCTTATTACTTACTTTCCAGTGACCTTGTGCACTGCAGTAATCCCAGTGAAATTAATTGAATCGCTTATCTTAATAAACAAAACTTTTCTCATGAAAAATATGCGTCCTTGAGATTCACTGAATCCTTTCTGGTGTCTGAGGAATCCTCTTTTTCTCCTTGCTTTAATTTACGGCACATCTTGTCTTATGTTCCTATGTCACAGTTGTCATTTTCCAGCTAAGGAATAGATGTGTCACTCTGGAGAATGTTAGTGACTTTATTTATGTCAGTTGGGTCTTTTTTTGTAGTGGGTGTAAAGGTACTGGAGCTGGGCTGAGGATTTCACCCTCTGTGGGCATGTCTACATGTGCTTCTATGGCACCATTGTTACTGTGCCATCATTTAGTACTTCCTTTTGAAAATACTAAATGACGACATAATGACAACCTGTACTATGCCGTGCTGGCAGTGCATAGTTATTTTTAGCCGCTATGTTAATGTAGCAATATGCTATACTGAGGGAGGTCATTGCTACAGCAATGTAGCTGCAGCGCCGATGCTGTGTTGCCATAGTGTCACATGTGGATGCACCCTGTGTCGACAGAGGTTTCCAGTGTTCTTGAAATATGCCTCTTTGGTTTGCCAAGGGTATGTTGGAAGTATTTAATCTTCATCTAAAGCATAATTAATTTACAGTTAAAAAAAATTCCATGGCTTATCAAGAAACATACAGGGCTGGATGCTGCATTTGTGTACATTGGCACAGTTCCTTTGACTTTAATGCATCAGGGGTTCAAACTTGGCAGACTTGGAGAATCCTGCCTGCCCATTTATAATTTCTCACTTTTTGTGCTGAAAATCTATTTTCAGTACCAGTCACACACTCTGAGGACAATGCTTTGAGATCATAGCAAGGAAGAAAAATGTAAAAGTATATTTTTTGTATGGTGTTTGATTTTAATGGTTCTGAACATTTGTTTTCACAGTGCATTGACAATATAAGGTGTAATGGTTTAATGACCATAGTGTTTGAAGAAAACTCTAAAGTCACTGTGCCGCATATGATCAAGTAAGTGCAGCAGATTTTTCCCACATGAATCATTTAGGCTGTTTTTCCCCCCCCTTTTTTGTTTTTAAGAATGTTTAATGTAGTAGCTGAATTCAGATAGTAAAATGTTAATATTTTGTACAGATTTGTTGAATGGAATTAGTCCTGCATTCCAAATATATCACTGTTTTAAAATGATATTTTAATCATGAGATTTTTAAAGAATTTTATTATTCTTTTGGTTGTGGGGAGTGTGGAAAGCATTTATCCAGGATTATTGAACACTTGGATTTGGCAGTAATAGGCTAATGTTTACAAAAGCTGTGAGTTCCAAGCATTTTTTTGGTTGTACTCTTCTTGTTTCTTCAGAGGAATAAATATTAAAAGAGTTAGCTTTAAAGTATATTTAGTCTCTTTTATACTACTGGTCATAATTTTATTGGATATATTTAAAAGTATATACAAAATATAAATGTGTATGAAAAATTACTTTTTTTCAAAGTACTATATAAGCAAAAATGGTGTTTTTTCCTTATTTTTCTCAGCTTTAAAATCCCATAAATTTAGTTGATCACATCAAGCTAGCATTATCAGTCGTAAATATGCTTCCTTCACCCCGGACGGTCTTCTCATAATTTATTTTTCCTATAGATAGGGAACTACCCTATTTGTGATTTTTGTTTTTTGCAGAAACTGCAAAAAAAAGTGGTTTCTATGAACCCACAAAAATGGTGATCCCCATAATTTTGGTGCGGAATTACTTAATAAAAATAAAATGTTGGCTCCTGAGTGGGTTCAATGGTCCTCAGAGTTGCTGCAGCCTGTCCTCTGAGCCTGCTGTGGGGGGAGCCACTGGCCTGAAAGATGAGCAGCAAAAATAGCAGCTGCCCTCCCCCTCACCCATTGTTGTTGATTGGCTGAGAGGGTTGCCCATAATATGGCCTCTTCCCCTCTGCCTATCAGCAGCAAGGGGTGGGGCCACATGATGGGCAGCCCTCTTGGTTAATTGGTGGCAAGGGGCAGGGCCGCCAGGGCCAGTCAACCTTCAGAGGGTGGGACTGCAAAAAATCTGCAAAAATGGTGCTGCGTACCACAAGCAGCCCACAATTTTTTTCTTGCCTCAGCAGGACTTAAGTAGATCCCTACCTATAGATGTTGAGATATGAAATGGATGAGCTTCATCCAAGAGTACTGAAAGAACTGACTGGTGTCGTAGCAGAACCATTGGCACGGCTGTTTGAGAGCTCGTGGCACTTGGGTCAGATCCTGGAGGACTGGGAAAGGGCCAATGTGGTCCCTATTTTCAAGAAGGGGAGGAAGGGGGATCCGAGTAATTATAGGCCAGTCAGTCTCACCTCCATCCTTGGAAAGATCTTTGAAAAGATTATGAAGGATCATATTTGTGGGAGGCCAGTGGGAAAAATAATCCAGCAGGGAAACTAACATGGATTCATACCAGGTAGATCACGCCTGACCAATCTGGTTTTATTTTATGACAGGGTTACAAAATGCTTAGATGCACAAGTAGAGGTGGATGTCATTTTCTTGGATTTTAGCAAGGCCTTTGATACAGTATCTCATCCCATTCTCAGAAATAAATCAAGAGGCTGTGACATAGATGTTTGCATGGTCTGGTGGGTGGCAAATTGGCTTAGCAGTCACACCTAGGA